TGTAAAAAAAAAATATACAGAATATGCAGCGGATTAAAATGATCAGATCATACCTTCTTGATGATAGAACCTTCTTGGATAAATCACGTGCTTCCAGGAAACTTCTTGATGAACCAACCCAGCAGTGGAGTGATATCACAGATTGAATATCACCCACACTAACCACAGTGTCAAAGACTTGATCGTTGTGTTTTTGGGAGAGAGTCAGAATGTGGGTAGAAAAACAGACTACGTTATTTTTCCTTTTTTCTCTGATTACCCATAACCATATCAGATATTTAATATATTATAATATCTATCCATATCAGTTAAGATACAGATAATATCTAATATATATTATATCTATCTATATCAGTTCAAACTGATAACGTCTGTTTCAAGAGTGGTTATCCTAAATAGGTTTGATTTCAAAATCAAAACCTATTTGGATAAGGATCAAATGTTAAATTTAAATGGTCATGCCACATGGGCGCCCATTACTAACATCATTTGAACTTTTTGACTTTTTTAATCACAAAAGACAGAATAGGCTATTTGAGCCACAATAGACAAAACATCACATCCAATCCATAATCATTACACTATTCTCTCACAAAAAAAGTCAAAAAAACCAAAAAGTCAAAAAATCCTTCCCAAACCAAGCTTTTGAGCCAAGGCTCAAATAGCTAAAAAAGTCAAAAAGTCAAAAGCCAACCCCACTTTCCAAACGGAGGCTTTGTGAAAAAAAGAAAAAGAAAAAAATTGAGTGAGAATGCTAAATCTTTTACGTGGCAAGTGATATAACTAAATTCAAAAGTGATTTGTATATAACAAATACATCTAAAATGATGTGGAAATGATATTTGTGAAATAATAAGGATGTTTTGCTTGAAAATTAAAAAATCTTGACAAAACATCTCATTCTCATTTGTATATAAATTCTATCGGTATATCATTACTATTTAAATTTGACATGGCTTTCAAATATTTTATTTTAGTTTGTTTATGTAATAGAGCCCATTTTTAAGACATTTGTATTGAAAATTTACAATTGCTAATTTGTTGGGAATTACCAATATATGTATATATATCACTATTCTCCTTATCCTTTTATACTTTTTTTTTTTATGTCCCATTTTAAGTTTATAACGATGATTCGAACTGTTCCTCTCATAGGCCAAACATTAAAGATGAATTGTGTAAAAGGTTAGTTTCATCATATATCACTAAACACATGAACGAATTACATTTTATTTTTTAAAATGAACAATACATATAAATTTAAATTTAAACTATCTAATTAATAAAAATAAAATACAATTTGTTCATATATTTATCGATAATGATTAAAGTAATTTTTTGTACAAATAATATTCACTGTGAAATTTACGTAATAAACGGTCCAAATTATCATTGTTGATCCAAAATAAAACTCACAAAATGAAGTATAAAGGAATATAACAAGGATAATAGTATGGAGAGCCATCATTCTTTTTTTTTTTTTTTTTCTTGGACTGCTTATTTGTTCCCTATTTTAGGATTTGTGTTATTTTCAATTATTTTTAGGGTAAAGTACTAATAAATCTTAAAATGTAATTTTATATACTGTTTAGTCTTATTATTTTTTTTATGCACCTAAATGTCCCATTAAAGTAAAAATTATACAAAATGATAGTCAGTTATACGTTTGGATTTAATTTTTTTGGAATAAAAATGGATTTTTATAAATGTGAAATTACATATTTAGGCAATCTGCACTATAGAGGTTTTGGATTTTCTCTCATTTGGTAACAAATCCCACATTATAAACAAAAACGTAATACTCAATACACTAAAAATCTCATTAATGTACTTTTATCAAACGTAACAATGTAACGCTCTAAAAAAATTTCTTAATATACTTTTTCTCAAACGTAGCATTCCAATGTAACATACAAAAAAAACTTCTTAATATACTTTTTCCAAATGCAACACTTCAATCGGTATAATTTCAAACTTAACACTTCAATGTAACAAACATAAAAACATTAAAAAAAACTTTTTAATGTATTTTTTTTCAAACATAACATTTATAGTTTGAAATTATACATTATTCAAAGCTTACTAAGGAATTTTTTTACTCATTTTGGAATGGTTTGAAGAATCCCACATCATTTTTTTAGAGTGCTACATTTGGAAAAAAAATACCCTAAGGAGTTTTTTTGTGTGTTACACTAAAGAGTTTTTTTGGAGTGTTAAGTTTGAGAAAAGTACATTAATGAGTTTTTTTGGAGTGTTACGTTATTGCAGTGTTACAAATTTGAAATTATACTTTTGCCCAAAACTTATTAAGGTATTTTTGTACTCCTTTTGAAATGTTTTACAAATAAAAAAGATAGCCATATAAAAATTTATCCCAAATTTGATTATCATAGATTGCGTATCTTACCATTCTAGCACAAAAGAAAAAAGAAAAAAAAAAAAGAAGAAGAAAAAGAAGTAAACATAATAGAAATAAGGGTGTAATCACAAATATAATTTCTAAATAATATATTAAATCTACCTTTCCAAAATCAATGAGACTAATTGGTCTATAAGAAAATCATTGGGACTAAATGAATCACCATTCCTCAAGATATAATTTATAGGTAAATTTTCTTATTTTTAGGGTAAATTACACTTTGTCCATTTTATGTTTGATCACTTTCTCACTCTCATTCTTAAAGTTTTTTTTTTTTTTTTTTTTTTTTTTTTTTTTTTTTTTTTTTTTAACCTTCGGCCCTTTATGTTTCAAATTTTTATATTTTACTTCTAAAACTAATTTCTGTTCAAAATTAGACAGGAATAACATAAAAAATCTATTATTATATTAGAATTTAAATTTATGAAGTATTAGATATGTGAACAATATAAAATAAAATATTTTTATACCATGTGATTGTTAATTTATCATTTTCTGGTTAATTTTTAACATAAATTAACTTTAAGAGTAAATTTGAAAAAATTTAAAACATTAAGGGCCAAAGAGAGAAAATGTAAATGTTAAGGACCAAAGTTAAAAAATGAACAAACAAGGGGACAAAGTGTAATTTATCCTTATTTTTAATTATTTTATATCGAATCCCTTTCTTCTTAATTAAAAATTAAAAGGAAAACAAAAAACTTGAGAGCTCAGATGCGCTATGATTTCGTCCGACTTATATCAGACGGTTGTGAAGGACCCATCCATCACGGTGGGCGCAGATGATTCGTCATTGTTCTCAGAGTATTGCACCAGCCGGGAATCGAACCCGGGTCTGTACCGTGGCAGGGTACTATTCTACCACTAGACCACTGGTGCTTTTTTGTTTTCTCTTCTCACAATATGTAATATATCTCCGATTCTAATGACTTTCACCACATTATTAATAAGTATGCATTAGAGGACTTGTGCACTTCACTATAAGTTAAAAATTAATAATAAAAAAATAATTAATTTTTATTTATTTATTTAAGTTATTTATCCTTAATAAGTTACAAACAAAAGCGTCATCAATTAGTTTGATACAAACTCACATGATAACAAATGAGAAATATTATAAGGTGTGTATCATATGTAAGTTATGTTATTTGTAAGTTTGATTATCACAAATAACGTAATTCAATATTATAAGATTCATAATTAAAAAAAAATTAAGTGTGTGGGTATTTTTCTGACCACACTGCCCGCCTAGTAATCAGCTGGAGAGCACCGGCAGAATTAGATGACACCTGACTGACCTGCAACAGAAATATAAGAATCCCGCGGTGGTTTCGACCACCCGGGGGCACTCCGACGATCAAGTCAGTATATCTCTCAAAGATAAATCAAATACTAAACTCACAAGCTTGAGTATCAAAAGCATACCTTAGACCCATGGGGGTGCCTCTCTTTTATAGCCAATACAATCCTAGTCCCAATAGGAGCTTGGCCCTAATGGACTTAGGATTAAACTCTCTAAGAGTCTTATCTTTACCCAAACTGAAGTCTTCTCCCAATCTAGGACTTTTGTCCCTCATCCAGGTTGAGTTCCCTTTTCATTCTAGGACTCTTGTCCCTTATCCACTTATCTCGGATTCCGATATTTTCGGAACCTCGGCGTCACGACCAGGACACGTGGCATCTCGACTGACACGTCGGCGTCACCTTGCCACGTGTTGGTACTCAAAAAATATATCCCCACATTAAGTTATAACTAAACATCACATAAGGTATAACTAAATAATTTTTACATCATAATCAAAATTTTGTCATAACTAACATCACAATATATCATAATTAATAATATGATATATTATAACCATTAACTCAAAAGCCGTAACTAAAGTTAGATGTGATACACACAAAATTTCTCATAAAATATATTTACATATATATATATATATATTATAAACACTTCAAATAAGCTATAACAAAATTCAACTGTAACTGTTGCATTTTACATTCTAACCTATTCAACTACATTCCTTCGCATTGGTAAAAATATGACAATGTCGTGATTTTTTGTTTTCTTGTTTTTGTTGAAAGTGTTTTATTCCTACCTTAGAGCATTTGCAGTGGACATGTTAGTGGGGTAGTTAGTGTCGGATGTTAAATTTTTAGCTAATTGAGGTTAAAAAATTGGCCCCAATGAAATTGTTAATGTATTAGTTAAAACTGTCAAATATTAATCAATTGATTAACTATGACTGGTCACTTAACAAACAAAGAAAAGGAGGGAGAGAAAGGGGCAAATATAGGAGTGGAGTAAGAGCGTAAAAATGGCCTGCGGCTCGTGGTTGATTCGAAGTTCACCTGTGGCTTGGGATAGGCGAATAGCCTTGGCCTGATTAGGCCCGGACCACAGCCCAGCTCGGAGACCTGGGCTGGCTGACCCGCTCAGATCCCACTCAAAACCTTATCTGAAAGAACGTGAATACTCCCTAGTCTGTGGCTTATTTTCTAGCTATGGCCGCTGGTAAGCTAATTTTGCAGAACCTGCGAGACCCTAACTGAACTGTGGTTAGCCCAGCCAAATTTACGATATATTTAGATTCAGTTGATAGTGTAGTGGAGTTGAGGGCATGTATTTTATAGTGTATTTATTTGTTTAGTATAAATTATGATATTCCCGAGACGACATAATTTTTAAGGATTAACAAACTTTTTATAACATATTTTATAAATTTCACTTTTATGTATTTTTGGGCATTGATATGTTCACATTTATAAAAACATTACGCCCATGACTCTTATGTTGTTTCCAGGTTAATTTTCCCTCCCTAACAAGGTGGTAGTTCACATCCACTCAATTGTTTTTGAGCAACCGCAAATCTTTATTTCTCAATACTACAATTCCAAGTCCCTACGAAAAAAAAATAAATTAAATAAATAAAATTAGTAATATTACCTTTTGAAGTTTAATTAAAATACGAAGTCCTTCATAGTTCTCGTAAAAAATTACATTCAAACTTTGAGATTTCCTAATTTCAT